CAAACTTTTTTCAGTAGGGAGCTGTCCTAGCATGCACAAACAAATCATTAATTTGTAATGACTGCAGTTGACATATTCGCAGGATTCAAACTATGATCCATGTAATTGACATATCAGAATAGCTCTTTACCAAGTAGGTTTACTCATACGAGGAATTTGCCTTTGTATAAATGGTGCATACAAAGAAAGAACGAAGAATACGTAGCAAAATAGTATTATTAGTAGTACCACTATAATAGTGCTATTATAACACTAATATTTCATCCTATAAAGTTATTGTGGGTTTAGAACACCCAAAAGTGAGTGTAAGTGAGCAGCAGCAACATACCTCAGCCTTGGCCTTCTCAGAGAGGCTTTTCAATATGAGGCTGGTGGGCAGACATCCCCCCTCTGGAGGACCAGCCTCCCCACACTGTGGACAATAGAGCGGTGAACTCACACCGTCTGGAATACATCCTCTGCAGAAAGCGTGTCCACAGGGAAGATTCACTGGATCTGTGAAGAAAGTGTGACAGGCAGGACAAATCAAATCTTCGGAGTAAGAACCAGACGCCATGGTTTCTGCTCTGCCTCACTGAAGTAAACCTTAAGTTTCACTTTCCTGTAAAGCCACACCTCATGTATCACTCATTTCAGAGATGTATTGTTGTAACAGGACCCTCTAGTGGTAACAGGTTGAAATTGCTACCTGGTCTCTATATACTGAGCTTTCCACCCGAGATTCAAGATTCTTCCATTCATTTATCCACCATGTTTGCGAGTAAGCGCAATGCACGCTGGAAACACGGAATCCTTTCAAAATAGATGCACTTCCTCTTGTTCTTCTTTGGTGTGTTATGGCTGTTTGCTTCCACAGTCACTGCCTCCCTCTGGATTTTACTGTTTCTCACACTTTTATAAAGTCTTTCCACCAGACCAGACATTCTTAAAAAACATGCTTTATCCACAATCTATTGACATGTATAGACTTTTTGCACTACTTTTTATTTTATTTTGAATTTTTGTATTTTATTATATATGTTGCATTGTTGGAGGAGCTCAGGTCAGAAGAATGTCATGCCATCTCTACACTGTAGCTTATGTGCATATGACAATAAAACCTTTGAATCTTGAATTGAATCTTGAATCATGGGTGTCACTTTGTTAGAAAAAGTGGTGGAGACCATTTCTCCAGATTTAACATCAGCATATCAGAAGATTAAAGATATTCCTCTCCTGGGTGTTGAACCTAGAACACCTGCATGAAAACCCAAATGCATAATCCTCTGGACCACCAGTGTGTTTTTAAAACAATGAATGCCAAACTACAGGTCTTGTTGTGATGTGATTTAGAGTGAATTTGTACCTTTATGCACACAACGAGCACACAGGCATTGAGGACAGAACATGGCATAAGTATAACATAAATAAACACATTAATACATGATAAATACAGGAATGGATTTATACTGTGCAATTTTCCAAACTCACATTGGTTTCGCATACAGTATCTCTGTAAAGTATGTGTATTCAGCAGTATTCACTCTCTCCACTAAACGGCTCGTTGGAGCTCTTGCCCCCCCCTCCCTGTGAGCCTAGTGTGCTCCGATTGGTCAGCTCGGCCACTCTGTTCTGATTAGTCAACCACCAGAGAGGCTGTTGTTATAGAAGAATAAGTTATTTTTACCTGTAATGAACTACTACTGTTTGATGAGAAATCAAATCATGGTTTGCTATATATGAATGATATGTTATAGGAGCAAATAATTCAGGGAAGAAAGGATAGGCCTAATAAGTATTTCCATCAAACTTTATTTTTAGAAATGTACAAAATGAACATGCGTAAATATACATATATACACTGTATATCATCCATTCCTACCCTTATAGGCGTTTTCGGCATCTTGCCTATCGCAGCTTTGTAAGCGGCTGCCGGGGCTTTTGAGGACGAGGCATCAGAGTGGGTCATCCCGTGTGTGTGTTGTCCGCCAGATACACCAGGAGTTTCCTGATCTGGCTGGACGAAATCAAATGCAAATCACAAAAATATTAGAGAAACTTAGTTGTTTTAGATTCGTTAGTAGTAGTTGTGGTAGGAGTGTGTATCTATCTAATCTATCTATCTAATCAACACAGTTAGCTTGCCAGCTAATATGCTAACCTACGTTTGCTAGTTGTTCAGTGTAATATGCTATAGGCTACTATACTATACTATGAACAACAGATAGTGGTTAGTTAGCGTATAAAATATACGGCTGTACCGACGCCATTATAAGACTGATGTTCCCCGAAAAAAAGCGGGCGGAGCCTCTCTGGTGGTTGACTAATCAGAACAGAGTGGCCGAGCTGACCAATCGGAGCACACTAGGCTCACAGGGAGGGGGGGGCAAGAGCTCCAACGAGCCGTTTAGTGGAGAGAGTGAATACTGCTGAATACACATACTTTACAGAGATGCTGTATGCGAAACCAATGTGAGTTTGGAAAATTGCACAGTATACGATTGACTTTTATTGATGGATTTGGCGCAAGAAGTACACTTCTCTTCAGAGACCTCAAGAGCCAGATATAAATGATTATTAGCGTCAAAAATGGTGTTGCTATTAAAGGTTTTGCTTCTACCTAAAACTCAGTAACAGGAGTGTAATGGAGGGGATTTCTAACAGGTTTGAGGTTTCTGATTTGAAGCTCTTCTCCACTGTAGCAGTGAGATAACGCACACATTTAACAAGCAGCACAATACACACTAGGATAAATCAACATGATAACTTGGCTTCTTCTGACTCAAAGACAACCGCTCTTCCTCTCAGCCACATCCAAATGATGGGCTGTAGTTCAGAAATGATGATCAAGTCCAGATCGAGGTAACCATTTTTTTTGTAAGAATGGAGGTTTGGTAAAGTTGGATAGATACCATGGCTTACTGTTAATATTTACATTAATTATGTGACCGTCTCTGTTTCCTGTAGATATTTAATTGCTCTTTTTACTGCACTGTTAGTGTACAGTTTTACTATTATGCTGCTGTGTTTATTGTATTTTTATAACTCTGGCATAACAATTTAAGTCTTATCTTATCTTATCTTAATTCCATCGATTCTAAAGGACTCTGAACAGATGTACAAAATTGGACTGTCACTTCCTGTGATGAGTTTACACGGATGTATTTACCTCGCTGTCTGCTTTGTGTGACCTGAGTGTCTGTATGTGTGATGCTGTGTGTACCTGTCTGTGTGCTTTCTGTGTTACTGTGTCAGTCTGTGTGTTTCCTGTGTTACTGTGTGTGTCAGTGTGTGTGCTTTCTGTGTTACTGTGTCAGTCTGTGTGTTTCCTGTGTTACTGTGTGTACCAGTCTGTGTGCTTTCTGTGTTACTGTGTCAGTCTGTGTGCTTTCTGTGTTACTGTGTCAGTCTGTGTGCTTTCTGTGTTACTGTGTCAGTCTGTGTGCTTTCTGTGTTACTGTGTCAGTCTATGTGCTTTCTGTGTTACTGTGTGTGTCAGTCTGTGTGCTTTCTGTGTTACTGTGTCAGTCTGTGTGCTTTCTGTGTTACTGTGTCTGTCTATGTGTTTCCTGTGTTACTTTGTGAAACTGTGTCGGTTTTCTCTGCGTTGTGGCGGGGTGGTGCGGCTAGGTGTAAGAGGTCGGTTGCTGACAACGCCACCTGGGGGAGTTTCGCCCAGAGACAGTTTAAGGGTTAATATCAAAGGCTACTTTATTTATAAAATACAGAGTATCTAAAAACACCAGACACAATACATTTCAATAAAATCCACACTTTGGGGAAAAGGACAGGGCTGGGACTTACCACAGCGGCAGTTAACAAAAAAGGGAGTAAGGGGTCCAAACTAAATCACCCGTGACACTGCACACCACACAAAACGGACACGTGAAGAACACCACTGCTCCCACCAGGGAGTCTGCCGCCTCAGGCCCACAGCACCTGTCCGGCACAAGACAAAAGGTTAGGGTTCTGCCACGTTTGGTGCAGAAAGATAAACAAAGGAAAAACAACCAAATACACCAAATCTTAATTAATGTAAACACAAATCAATAAACAAATTACACCAAATGAAAGTAAATGTAAATATCATCATTGCACTAATTTATCTATCTACCCACCAGAGGTCGCCAGCAGAGATGGCAGTGTCCAAAGACACTGAACCAGGGCTCTAGGTTTTCTGTTTGATTTTAAAATAGGATAAATATACTCTTGCTACGAGGGATGCTACTAGAAAGAAGAATAAACGAGTGAACTATGAAGGAAACTTCTTCCATGACATAGATCAACATCAACATGTTAAATCAATCAATAGCTCCAACAATAATTACCGGACCATTGTGTGTCTAATTCCTACCAGTCCGCTTGATTATGAGTGTGATGTGTGTGTTCATGTTGGGTTGCCACTAACAGGCATGTGAGTTTCTCACGTCTCAGTGTTCTGCATTTCTCTGAAACAGAAGCAACCTGACCGCAGAGAGAGCAGAGAAGAAACAAACCAAGATAATTGATATGGCATTTTCCATTCTCTCTTATAATTAATACTGTGCCCTTCATGCTGTTCAGTAAAACTGCCTCGTGGTTTCACAGGTTAATGCCTTCCTGTTCCTTCACTACACCGGCAGACTGTGTGACGTCCTCAGTGCTCATAGAGATGAATGTTATTCTCTTCTTCATTTGAATGCTCTTTTCTTGTTTCTGTGGTATATCGGCAGCAAAACAAGTTAAAACCATAGTTTATTTTGTATAAGAAAAGTTTATACTTTGTTAAAAAACATTACTTTATTGTGTAGTGGGCGTTAACTGGCATTTGGCTCATCATGCATATTAATAATCTAAACAGGAAGTAAATCTAGTCTCTTAACAGCCTGATATCCGTCTTCTGCTCATTGGTGACAGAGGAGAGGCATCTTTGAACACATGGTTCCTCCTTCACTGTGAGTAGAAACAGTTTATTGATGTAATGATTCTGTATACCTCCTGTGAACATTATTTAATCTGACATGTTTTATAGTCTCACAGAGATGAGAGGAGCAGCTATGAGTCTAACTGCAGCAGCGAGTGGATTAGTTGTCTTCCTGCTCTCTGTGTCAGGTACTGTACATCTACACTTACATTCATCACATGAACAGAGGGGATTCTGGGGAAATGTGGGACTTGTAAAAGCAGGTCATTTGTAGAAATAAGTGGATCGGGGTTGGATGAAATGCAAACTTTCCAGAAATATTCCAAATATCTGTTTTGTGTAGCTTTGTTGAAACGGGTAGATGTTACCAAGTTTTAGTAGTTTTTTAGTGTTACATGTAATGGATACTTGTAAAAATGTATTTCCTGTATTGGTCAACGTAATTTGAACACAAAAGTAACTGTGTGCTTATTACTCTTACACGCTTCAAACTGATAATATTGTTCATTCATAACTGTTCCCTCCTCACCATGTTATAACATTTTGCTATGTTGTATTTTTAAGATGAGCCTGTTTAAAAAAATTATTGTAGTTTTCATAAAAATGTTAGTGTTTTAGAGGGATATTTTCTTACTAGTCATTTCATACTATCTCAACTTCTCTCATGTCTACACTTTGAACCAAACCCTTCTAGTTTAGTTTTAGTTTAGTTTAGTTTAGTTTATTTATTTTTTTCGAGCGTGTAAAACCAAAGAAAATACAAATGAAACAAAAGGTGATACAGACATGATACAGTACTATACAAATGAATGCAATAACAAAACGAAACATTTAATTAATAATTGAATAATCTGTAGTATCATTGTCTGATATCAATAAACAATAAACAACAAAGCTTTAGCTAATTACACGTCCGAAAAGGGGTCGGAAGAAGTTTACACTTATTTAATCCGACCCCTTCTCCCTTTTTTTTTTTAATTTCTTTTCTTTTTTTTTTACATCTTAATATATGTTAACATACAATATAAACGTATACTTATAATCTTGAATAATTTATATAATCATTCATATAATATATACAGGCAAGTTAGGACAATGGTCTCTATATATTTATATATATACATACACAAATTCATACAAACACAAATTCATAAATAAAATACAAAACAAGAATATAAACAGTTATGGTTTAGCAGTTTCATCTATCATGTACCTTGTGATAATTGTGTCTTTATACCTCTTTTTGAATAGTTTTATGTTTGAACATCCCTTTAGCTCCTCACTCAACTTGTTCCAGATCTTCACCCCACAAAACAGAAACACAAAAACTTCTCTTTGTTGTGCGCACCCTAACATTAGTGAATATAAATGAACCCCGTAAATAATGATTCCCTTGTCTTTCATTGAACAATATCTGAATATTCCCAGGTAATTGAACATTTTTTGCCTTAAACATGATTTGTGCGATTTGGAATTCAACAAGATCTGACAGTTTTAATAATTTTAGCTCTAAGCATAATGGGTTTGTATGATCCCTATAGCCGACATTTTTAATAATTCTTATTGCTCTTTTTTGTAGAATAAATAGGGATTGTGTTGTAGTTTTATAATTACTGCCCCAAACCTCTGCACAGTAACTTAAATAAGGTAAAACCAATGAACAGTAAAGAATGTAGAGGGAATTTTGATCAAGAATCTGTTTTGCCTTGTTTAATATTGCAATACTTCTTGAGACTTTGGAATGAATATGTTTTATGTGTGGTTTCCAGCTCAGTTTCTCATCAATTGTGATTCCAAGGAATTTATGTTCTTTAACTCTCTCAATGAAAATCCCATCTATCTTAATGGATGCTTGTGTATTGCTATTTCCAAATATGATTAATGTTGTTTTATTCAAGTTTAATGATAACTTATTACTGTTTAGCCATAACTTTAGTTTGCATATTTCAGCTGTGATCTCTTCCAATAGTAGCTGTACATTGTCCCCAGAACAAAATATATTAGTGTCATCAGCAAACAAAACAAACTTGAGTACTGTCGATACATTGCATATTTCATTAATATACATAATAAATAGTTTCGGCCCCAATACTGACCCCTGGGGGACACCGCATGTAATGTCCAAATATGAAGAACAACACTCTCCCAGCTTCACAAACTGTTGCCTGTTGGTTAAATAACTCCTTACCCATTCCAAAACTACACCCCTGATTCCATAACGTTCAAGTTTTTTTATTAATATGTCATGATTAATTGTGTCAAATGCCTTTTTTAGGTCAATGAATATTCCAATGGCATGTTTCTTTTGGTCAATTGAGCTAGTAATTTCTTCAAGTGAGTCTACTAAAGCCATCGATGTTGATCTATTGGCTCTGAATCCATATTGACTTTCGGTGAGAAGTTTGTGTTTTTCTATGAAATTGTCCAGTCTGTTATTGAAAAGCTTTTCAAGAATTTTTGAGAATTGTGGTAGAAGTGTGGTAGTTCCTTCTCTACTCTCTGACCTCAGTGTTATATTGCCACACTGTGAGTTGAAAGCAGTCTTCTTCTTTTTCTTATCTGTATATCAGACAGAAGCTGCTCACACCTCAGTGTTCTGCATTTATTTTCACACTTACCTCAGCAGCAACCTGACCACAGAGCGAACAGAGAGGAAACCGTTCAGAGAATCACACACTTTTCTAATTAATATGATCGCTAATCATTCACTGTTCATTTATATGAAAGCATTTTCCAATCTCGTGTCAAACTGAACATACCCTTTTTGCGTAGACTTCTGTTCTACCTGGTTTGATTAAGAAACAAGAAAGTCAAAGAGTATCATTGGTTTTAAAGTGCCTAAGAAGGAATTCACATGTGTTTTTCTGCTCTATCCCAGTAAAGTTTGTAAAATGTTTATTTTTACATTCTTTGTTGAAAGTACTGTTCAGGCAATTTCTCAACAATTTATAGATTAACTTTGATTCTAGTTTCTGGTGTGCTCTGTGTTTCAGTGGTTCAGGGTCAGGATGGCTGGGGAGTGGCTTACTCTTCTACTGAGATCTGTGCAGTGAAAGGATCAACAGTGGAGATAAGATGCAGCTACACATACCCATCTCCATGGAGAGGTCGTGTTAACACAGTGGAGAAAACATTCTGGTTCACTAAAAAGAAAGATGGTGAACGTGTAGATCTGACCACAGTCTCAGAGTATGCAGGTCGTGTAGAGGATCTCTGTGAAAAGAACATCTGCACTCTGAGAATCAGAAACCTGACAGAGAGCGACTCAGCTGAGTACATGTTCAGGTTTGAAACAAACCAAGCAGGAGGAGAATATGGTGGTTGGAGTGGCGTCACTTTGTCTGTCTCAAGTAACAATTTTCAATGATATGTTAATTATTTATTAATGTTTTGGTTAAAATAATAATGTTTTATAATAATGTGTTTTGAGAGTTTTCGTCTTAAATAACATATATGTTCCTTCATAAATCCAGATCTCCAGGTCACATCAGATACAAACTGGCTGTATTGTCAGAGCAGTTGTCCTCAATATTCTTATCCTTCCTACATCTGGTACAAGAACGGACAAAGTATTCAGGGAGAAACATCTGATTATACAACCAACCCGAACAATGCAGACAGTTATTCCTGTGCTTTGAAGGGATATGAGGACTGTCCCTCTCCTGCAGTGTGTGAGTTTACTCTTACACACATACATTGACATTACAATACAGTGACGTTATAGACATACTGTACATAACCATACCGGAGTCTTCTAAAGTACATTACATCAGTTTCATTTTTATCAGGGCAATTTACAATAAGTGGAGACAACCATAAAGATAAAACAAATATCCTACAAGCACTTTAGCTTTCAATAAACCCAACATGTTACATACATAAATTACTTTTTTATGAATACAAATGTGTACAGTTCTTTTTTAATGACATTTTGAAGTATGAAAACGTTGTTGCTGCATTAACTGTTTGATGTTACACAGTTTAGTTTACTTAGATGCTCTATTAAAGTCAGTTACCAGAGAGAAGCATGAGTTTTGAAGCCATTAATATTAAGATTAAGCACATTTAGTGGCTTTCTCCATAAGCAGAAATCTTTGATTTTACACCTGATCAAATTACAATATAGATGACTAGGGATAGTTTAAAATAAATTATAAAATAGTCAATCATGCGTCATAAAAAAATATAATCTTTAACATTTCTCTTCCAGATGCTCCAAAGCCTCCCTCTGTGTCAGTGAGTCCCTCTGAGATAGAGGAGGGCAGTTCAGTGACTCTGACCTGTAGCAGTGATGCTAACCCAGCAGCTAACTACACCTGGTACAAGGAGGATGAAAACTCTCCAAAAGCTTCAGGACAGATCTTCACCATCACTGACTTCAGAGCTGAACACAGTGGGAGTTATTCCTGTGGAGCCCAGAACAAGTTAGGACGTAGCAACTCCACCTTACATCTGATTGTTGTGGCAGGTACGTTTTATGCATTCATCCACTACCAGACACTTATAAGCTTGTTTATTTCAGTCACATCATCTGCATGGTAGTCAGATTTTCAATGTTATTCTTGGATCAGGGATAGGGTTCATAATGTTTTCATTAAATTCAGCTTGTTTGTTTTCAGTCACATGGTCTGGGTAGGAGGCTGAAAAAGGAGTGTGTGTTCAAATGTACCTTTCCGGTTCGGGATAGGGGTTGTTTTCTTTCTTTTACATAAGGGAATAATTATCCTGAGGGTCCAGATTCAGTATGGGGTGCAGTCATTCCCTGTGCACTCAAGAGTGAGAGTTGTGTCTGTTTTGTGAAGCTTATGCCAAGTGCAAGTGCCCACAGGCTGAGAGATATTCCATCGGTATTGAGAAGGAAATAATAAGGAAATAATGAATCACCTGTTCATCACAAAACTAACAATATTATGAATGTATTTGCATTTGTTTCAGCTTCTTGAACATTGGACAAGTATTCTTTTATTAACATTACTTTTAAAACAAATTATGGTATATTTTTTTAGGAATAGGAAGGTTGAAAATATAGTCTTACACTGCTCCTAGTACTAGGATGGGTTAAAAGCAGAGAACAGATGTCACTGTGTGTGCTGTGTGCTCTGCATGTGTGACCATTAACGAGGGTTTCATCCCTGCAATTCTATTCTATTATTATCTATTATATTACACACACCCTGTAATACTCCAAAGCGCCCCTAGGGGTCCTTGTATCCATATATGAGAAACACTGCTGTATTAACCATCTGTTCTCTGTTGATCACTGTTTCTCAGGATCATGGAAGCAACTACCTTTTGTATCAATCCCTGTAGTTCTCCTGGCTGTCATTTCTCTCTCTGTCTTCCTGTGGATCAGGTGAGCAGATCTGATCATCTTAATCATTGTTTGTTAAATCATTAAAAGTCTGTTTGTCTGGTGTCAACATGTGATTCTTCATAAACTCTCCTAATCAGAAGAAAGAGGGCTTCCAGAGACTCGTCTGAGCCCGAAGAGAGACCGGACAACAGGGAAGAGGTGAGAGTAGATGCTTACGTAATTAATCGAGTACAAAAGAAAACATATTACACTCAATTTATAATGAGGAGTATTTCATGGTCTTTAAAGGTGGGGTAGGTAAGTTTGAGAAACCGGCTCGAGATACACTTTTTGTTATATTCCATGGAATGTTCTTAACATCCTGATAGCAATGAATATCTTAAAGGGGACCTATCATGCAAAATTGTTTGTTTGTTTGTAGCCTTTATTTATCCAGGTTAAAAATCCCATTGAGATCAACGATCTCTTTTACAAGGGAGACCTGCGGTACATTGAGTTACACATATAAAAACAAACAGAAAACAAAAAGGACATCACAACATAATTACAGGGGTATACATTAGCATCTATTTACATTTACAGGTATCCAATAATATTTAAAATGCACTTTTGTACGTCTTTTATACATGAATATGTGTCCCCGGTGTTCCAGGGAACTCACCAAGTGTCAGAAAACACAACCCTCTCTATTTTCCTCCATACCCAAATCTCTAAAAAAGGGGCTGCAACGGATCTGATAAAAACTGATCCAGATTTGAACACTGTCCTGACGTCAGGACGGTGGCGCTACGGCTATTGGGCCAACTCCACCAATCAGGAGGAGACAGCCACGGCCATTGCCGTTCGAAAGCACTGGAGACGCTGTAGTACATATGCCAGGCCTGTAGGTGGTGTTCTCACAGAATCTGCCCTTGCAAAAACAGAGCTAAACATTTTCAAATTGAGCGAAATGAGGCATGGCTAAAATGCATGATCTGTTTGGTATTTTGAAAAAAAAAAAAGTATAAATATGCCTTATATAGGTATGGTCCTACACTATATTATTCAAATATAGCATGATCGGTCCACTTTAAGTGCTTTGACAAAAAATCCATAAAAAAATGTCATCTGTGGAAGCCGTAATACTGTAAAAAGCACGACCAATCATTTTAGCCGGCCCAGCTAAAATAACTGGATGGCCTACCTGCCTGTCAGCCTTCCATCTGTGCACAAACTTATCTCGTGCCCTCATTGGTCATGTGCGCGTTCGTGTGTGTTGGAGGAGGGGCTCTGTAAGGAAGTGGCAGATTTTCTCCGGTTGTGTATTTTCAAATTATAGCGATCTCGAGCCGGTTTCTCAAACGTACCTACTCTACCTTTAAGTGCTTATAGAAAATGTATCCGACATAGAAGGACCTCTTGCTGCTCTTTTTACATCCTTCTATAAAAACCTAATTTCTATCACAATCTCTTTGATTCTCCTCTTAGACATGAGTACATTTCAAGTACATCCAGAAGTTTTCCTATCTTTGATCCTTTAATCTTTTCTGTCATAAAGCATCATGTTGATAAAGCAGGGATATTTTCCCATCATTACCACAGCTGCTGTTGGTTTGGCCTTTTCTGTCCTGGGTGCATTCCTCTGTAAATGAAATACCTATTAAAGGTCCCATGTCATGGCCATTTCTACTGATCATAATTCCATTGTTGAGGTCTACTAAAATAGATATATATTGTTCAATGTTCCAAACTCACTTTGGTTTCTCATACAGCATCTCTGTAAAGTATGTGTATTCACTCTCTGTCCTAAACGGCTTGTTGGAGCTCCTGCCCCCCCCCTCCCTGTGAGCCCAGTGGCTGTCTGCGAGACAGCGAAACCCAGCCCGAGCACACACACACACCCGCAGCCTAGCCGCGTCCCACCGTCTCAGGGAGGAGAAATCGGCGGAGCTGCAGCTGAGAAAAGATTTTAGTGTGTGTGTGTGTGAGGAAGTCCGGGATTGGTCCGCGGACGTAATGTAACAGCTCCACGGATTGGTCCACTTTTCTGTGTTAGAGTTTTACTCGCTACAGGGTGTACTTTGAGGGTTTGTGACTTTGCAGACCGTTTACATGCAGAACAACCTTCATAACACACAAGGGGACGGGTAATAACCGGAAAAGCATGACATGGGACCTTTAATGTAAAAATGCATAGTTTAACTTAAAGTGTTTTCATCCCTGCAGTGTGTACCTGATCAGCCGGAGCAGCAGGATGACCTTCAGTATGCCAGCGTTCACTTCTCCAACAACCGGGCAGACCCTCTTTACTCCAACATGAGAGCAGCTCAGCCCCTCAGACACACGGAGCAACAGGAAGTCTCAGAGTACGCTGCCGTCAAGTTCAGCAGTGCTGCCCCGAGGTGAGCAGATCCTCACACAGGAACATTGTTCACATATCATTTAATTCCTTTTGCATTATTATTAGTACTAAAATCTTATTATGTGTTTTTCAGGGCTAGAGGTCAGGACTCTGAAGAGGATCCCGCTGCATTGTACAGCACGGTCAACAAATCCAGATAAACACAGCAGGCGTTGCATTTGAAGGATGATACTTCAGTTTTTATTACAATCACATTTCTATGTACACAGGGTAATGTGGATTTATTAAATACATGTCTCAGGGTGGAGCTCTCCAAGAATGAGGCGATGAGTTTTCAGCCTAGTTTTTATTAATCTGAATGGCTCAAATGTAAAGATTTTGTTAAGTATTTCACAGCTTAATGTACTGAATTGTTAATATTTCTTGTGTAACATGATTTTTGCCACAAAAAAATTACAAAATGTAGAGATGTTGCAACAAGGGATCTGATCCCTAACTGCTGGCTTGATGGAAAATGTAGATATTACTAAAGAGTTATAATTTACTGATAACAAACCATTTCCATTGTTTTGTAAGTACATTTATCAACTTTATTTTATATGTTCTTCTTCTTGTCTAGACTGAAATATCATCAACTACTTGTTTGTGTTATTTTGTATCCATTCCAAAATACATGTTGTTTTTGAAAAGCCCATTGGGATATCAGAGAGGAACATGTGTTGCTGATGTAGTTGCAGTTTCATTCTGCTGCCACTAGGTGTCAGTAAAGAGCCGTATTTCACTGATGGAAAACCATTACCAGCCTGTAAAGCACATTTATCTTTGGTGTGTGTACGGCCTTAATGTTCACACATTCTTATTCTGACATCTTTTTATATAAATATAAAAGTTCCATTATCACCAATTAAAATAGTTAATTTCTTTGTTACTCTTTAAGTTCATAACCATCACAACTTGTTGCATTTATCTCTTTTGCTTTGTTGTTACACCTGTTATTCTGACCCTAGTCTTTTGCTCTGTACTTCATGTGTTTACCTTTCTCTCGTTCTGTTCTGTTCTGGTTTGAGTTCATCAATAAAGGTTGAAATGTTCATAACTCTCGTCCACACTAATGCTAATGATAGCATTAGTGTCACTAATCTGTCATTTCTAAATAGAATAATTGCACGTGTTCACTTGAAATAAAAACACTGGAAACAATATTAAACAAAACAAGCTGCAGAGATGAAAGTGCAGAGTTTGTGAGGAGACATCAGAAGGTATAAAGAACACAGTGAAGGCTGTCACACTGAGTGAGAGAAGTGTGTGAGTGAAGTGTGTGAGTGAGAGAAGTGTGTGTGTGAGTGAAGTGTGTGAGTGAGAGAAGTGTGTGAGTGAAGTGTGTGAGAGAGAGAAGTGTGTGAGTGAAGTGTGTGAGAGAGAGAAGTGTGTGAGTGAAGTGTGTGAGTGAAGTGTGTGAGTGAGAGAAGTGTGTGAGTGAAGTGTGTGAGAGAGAGAAGTGTGTGAGTGAGAGAAGTGTGTGAGTGAGAGAACTGCTCTTCATGGACAGAAATACTGATAGCTAAGCTTCAGTTTGTGCTGCATGTTGTAGTTTGGTTTAAGTTTATCTTGAATGAATATTATAAAATGTAAAACCCAACCTCAATGAAAAATGTTGTTATGTGACTTTCTGTACACATTATTATTATATAATGAATGCATTCTTCAAGTCATGGAGTCCAGGCAGTTTCATAATAATATCAAGTGATGTTAATTTGCATTAGTAGTTTGTGTAATTTGCATTGTTGATTTTTATTCACTGAACATGGTTTTAGATCTTGCATTTTGGCTGCTTTTATAATAAATTAAGACATTAGGATGTGTGTTCTCTTGTCAGTGAGGAGAGGTGGTCTGTTCACCACAAACTGGTCTCTTTCTGCGAAACAACAAGCTACATAAAGCAATAATGTGAAGAGGAAGGAAGTGGTGTTTTAAACCCCCTGCTTTCTGTCTCCTTTCTACCCTCAAGCCCACAGAGGGACGTTAAGGTTCGTGAGAGCTCCCTTTATTTTAATGTAGAAGGTTTTACTTGTGGACATCAATCAACTTCTTTGTTATTTTGTCACTGAAGCCACACGGAGACGAGAGCAGCAGCTATGCAGCACATTGGGATATTGGAGAGGAACATGTATTTGCTGATGTAGTTGCAGTTTCATTCTGCTGCCACTAGGTTTCAGTAAAGAGCCGTATTTCACTGATGGAAAACCATTACCAAGAGCCTGTAAAGCACATTTATCTTTGGTGTGTGTACGGCCTTAATGTTCACACATTCTTATTTATCCATATTTGTTATGTAAAAGTTCCATTATCACCAATGGAATTTGTAAATGTCTTTGTTACTCTTTAAGTTTATAACCATCACAACTCATTGCAATGATCTATTTTGCTTTGTTGTTAACACCTGTTATTCTGACCCTTCTCTTTTGTTCTGTACTTCATGCGTTTACTTTTTTCTCTTTCTGTTCTGTATTGGTTTGAGTTAATAAATACAACATTTGAACAAGGAATGTTGGAGCTGCAAATATATCCCAGCCTGCAAATCATGTTCTGCTGACTTAACAAAATATACAATATTTGTTTGGTGTAATTCTTGATATATTTCTCTCTCACCGTTGAAGCGCACCGCCCGGACGCCCCCTGCTGGCAGTCGATGCTCCTCAGCAGGTGTTGAGGAAGCTGAGGAGCCTGAGGTCGGGGCTCCGGGAACGACATCACGTTACCTGGGAGGAGAAATAAAATACATAATCAGAATCAGAATATAACCTAGTAGGCTATTTAATTGGGTGTTGAAGCATACAATGAACATATTACTTATTATGACGAAAACAAGGCTTGTTTCTATCATTCGAGCAAGCCTGCTTTCACTTATTGCTGTAGTTTAGAGCCGAGTCGGGCCTGCTGTAAAGCAACAGGCCGGTGTTACCGAATAAGATGTGGGGCGAACAACTGGTGATATTCTATTATTTTAGACGGATGTATCAGGGGCGTGGCCTTTGTCGAATAACCAGGAAATACACATTTAGATCGCTTCTTCTGTCGTTTACATTAATCTTTTGGTATATTTGGCTGGATAGGAACACTTTGATGCACATTCAGTACCAGTGTGTGAGGTTGTGGTTGCGATGCCGATATCCGGACGCATACAGCGAGGACTACAAAAAGACACATGAGGTGACTGGGGATGTGTTCAAAACATTGCAAGCTTGAATAAATCATTTAAACCATTTATTTTTGCCAGACTTATTACTGAATATCATTCTTAATGTGATACCAAGTCCATCTGAGACCTGTGTATACCTTCAGACAGCCTCCAAGTGAAGCACACGTTGTTTACTCACAGTTTGAAAGCAGCGTGGAGAAGTCTTCAGCTGTGGAGCTGTGATCCGCCCAGGATAACTTGTGCTACGACTTCTGTGGCTTGTTCTTGTTGTCAGTCTTATATTTGTATCATATATCGTTATTAATATGATGTCGAGTTGATTTGAGACCCGTTTATACTTTCATACAGTCTGTTAGTGAAACATATAGTCTGTCTGAGTTGTTTACACCCATATAACGCAGCGTGGAGATCTGTGGTAAACTGTGATCCGCTCAGATTAAACTGTGATACGACTTCTGTGGCTATCAACCAGCGATCATGTTTAATATTAAAGACTACACACATTTATCGATTATCAAAACGGTATTCTGCACTTTGCTGCACTTATCCAGATAAGATGTGACTGTTTACTCGTTTTGCAGATAGAAGCAGAAATGTCATTGCTACATGTGCAGGGATATTTAGAATTTAAAATGCTGCTTGATCGTTAATTTTGTTCTCGGCAAACAATATTATGAATCTTCTATTCAAAAATATTATTCAGTGTCCATCGACATGAAAATAACAAAAAAGTTCATGCTGGACTCTAACCCGAGTCCCAATAGCAAAAATCCCTCGTGCCATGCGCGTTATGAGTGTGCCACGGATCAGTACGATGTAATCTGTCATCACAGTTTATTTTGTCACATTAACATTGTTGAAAGAGTCAGAACAATTCAACCCGACCATCTTTTATAATGTGAGCGAATGTATGTACACTTTAAGCCATATAATATAAATATTATAGTAGGCATTTGCTTTAAAATAGTATATACTGACTGAGCATCATTAACACCCACCCACCGAGATCAGATATCCTAGTTCATCAGCCTGCGAGCCTACACTACATTGTGATAAGTGGTCATTTTACGTATTATGTATTCTAGAGCACACATTAAGTTCAAATATGCAAATCAGGACATGTGTTTCGTTATGTCGTAGCTATCATCACCTGTCATGGAAATTTAACAATAACAGGGAATTCATATTAATATTACCAAGTTACACAGAAATAGATAAAACACATGAGAACAAAGACCACATAGATAAAAGCATAAACGTTACGTTAGAAACGAAAACATGTTAACAACAGTGTGAAAAAGTATGAATATATGTGTTTCTTGTTCTCAACGTAGCCTATGTGAGTACCCTCGTCATTCAGTGTCGATGCATAACGAAAGTTAACCAAGTAAACAGCATATTATCTGGATAAGTGCGGCAAAGTGCAGAATACCGTTTTGATAAGGGATCAATGTGTGTAGTCTTTAATATTAAACATGATTGCTGGTTGATAGCCACAAAAGTCGTATCACAAGTTATCCTGGGCGGATCACAGCTCCACAGCTGAAGACTTCTCCACGCTGCTTTCAAACTGTGAGTAAACAACGTGTGCTTCACTTGGAGGCTGTCTGAAGGTATACACAGGTCTCAGATGGACTTGGTATCACATTAAGAATGATATTCAGTAATAAGTCTGGCAAAAATAAATGGTTTAAATGATTTATTCAAGCTTGCAATGTTTTGAACACACATCCCCAGTCACCTCATGTGTCTTTTTGTAGTCCTCGCTGTACGCGTCCGGATATCGGCATCGCAACCACAACCTCACACACTGGTACTGAATGTGCATCAAAGTGTTCCTATCCAGCCAAATATACCAAAAGATTAATGTAAACGACAGAAGAAGCGATCTAAATGTGTATTTCCTGGTTATTCGACAAAGGCCACGCCCCTGATACATCTGTCTAAAATAATAGAATATCACCAGTTGTTCGTCCCACATCTTATTCGGTAACACCGGCAACACCATGCCTCCACTCACCTCACCCTCCGGATGCGGCGGCTGCCTCCGCATGAGCCAGAAGATCTCCGAGTTGGAAGGTAAAATATCCATGCTGTACCAAATACGAGACTACGAACAGATCCTGGACTCTTTACGGCCCCTACACACGGCGGCGTGCGTTGACTCTTCAACGCTTCTGTCCATTCACTTTGAATGGGGTGACGTCACGCTTCGCCGAACTGCATTGTGGGAGCGTCGCTACGGGTTGCTCGAGGTTCTCGCTGCAAAAGTTGAGCAATGTTCAACTTTTGAAGCTTTGACGGAGGCGTCAGCCAATCAAATCCCGCTTATGCAAATCTGACAGTACAAGCGCTAGCCAATCAAACCGCGTGTATGCTGGGAGAGCCATACCGCAGGTCATTTCCTCATGTTCCAAAAAATGGAGGATAAAATAATAATAGCAGTAGAGAATCACCCGGTCCTATACGACCAGTCCCTCTTTATCTACCGGGATACAAACCGGAGGAGCCAGGCATGGAGGGAGGTGGCAGAGACAGTGGTAGGCTTTCGCCTGTTTGGGGAGTTTATATCCAGTTTACTTCGGGCTTTTTTGCTTTGTATGTCGGGGGCGGGAGATTCATGTGATTGGTTGTTGGTCGCGTTGCTCGCGAGAAATCCCCAAGCTTCACACACGCCCACCGCCAAGCTTCAACGCACGCCGCCGTGTGGACGGGCCGTTAGTTACCATGGGCCCCGCTGCCACAACTGCGTGTGAACTAGACTCCACTGTCCCATGGATGGATGTCGCAGCCCGAGCAGACGACTGGTCCCAGCTGGTAGCTAAACCCAAGGCCCCGGTTAGCTCTACTCCGAGCCAGAAGGAGCCATGGACGGATGTCCGCCGGGGGACACACCGTGGGAAGCTCATCCGCCGTCCCACTCCCCCTCGTGCACTGCAGCTGACCAACGGACACTCCATCCTGGACGAAGAGGACTCAACCCACGTCGCAAGGTCCGGTGTTCCCCTGCCGTCGCCGCCTCCACTCTGCATGGCTACGTCCAGACCTTCGGTACACCATGCTGACTGCCGCTCTCTGCGGCACACCACCTTCTCACGTCCAGGCCATGCAGTTCATCCCTAGTCCCGCTGCAACAGACACCCAGGTCCAGACCTCCGTGCTGGTGGGAGCCTGCTCCCACCAGCACGCCCCCTCTCCACAACCCGGCTGCAAACCCTTCAGTGCCCGTCCGGCATCACCTGACTCTGCACGGACCCCGGGGCCGCCTCCTTCTTCACTGGTCATAGGTGACTCCATAGTCCGGAATATTAGGTCAAAGACTGCTGCAACATACTGCTTCCCTGGTGGCAGGGTTTTGGACCTGGTTGAAAAGATCCCGTGTCTTCTGATGAAGCATCCTCACGCCAGAAACGTTATTATCCACGTAGGCACAAACGACACGGCATGCCAACAATCAGAGGTACTTAAGCAGGATTTTACCACTCTCTTTAAAATGCTTAAGAAGTGCAACAAGTCTGTTTTTATCTCAGGGCCGATCCCCTCTCTCCTTCGAGGCGTGGGGCATTTTAGCAGGCTGCTCAGCCTGAACAGATGGCTGCAGTCGGCTTGCTCCACGAACAAATTGATAATTATTGACAATTGTAATCTTTTCTGGGAGCGTTAGAGCCAATAGAATCGAGGGGAAGTTCCTAAAATCCATCTAATAAATTAAACTAAATGAAAATATCATCATTGCACTCATTTATCTATTAACCCACCAGAGTCCAAAGACACTGAACCAGGCCTCTAGGTTTTATGTTTGATTTTAAAATAGGATAAATATACTCTTGCTACGAGGGATGCTACTAGAAAGAAGAATAAGGAAGCTTCTTCCATGACATAGATCAACATCAACATGTTAAATCAACAAATAGCTCCAACAATAATTACCGGACCATTGTGTGTCTGATTCCTTCCAGTCCACTTGATTATGAGTGTGATGTGTGTGTTCATGTTGGGTAGCCACTAACAGGCATGTGAGTTTCTCACGTCTCAGTGTTCTGCATTTCTCTGAAACAGAACCAACCTGACCGCAGAGAGAGCAGAGAAGAAACAAACCAAGAGAAAAGATATGGCATTTTCCATTCTCTCTGATAATTAATACTGTGCCCTTCATGTTGTTCAGTTAAACTGCCTCGTGGTTTCACAGGTTAAGGCCTTCCTGTTCCTTCACTACACCTGCAGACTGTGTGACGTCCTCAGTGCTCAGAGAGATGAATGTTATTCTCTTCTTAATTTTAATTTTCTTTTCTGGTGTTAGTGGAATATCGGCAGCCAAACAAGTTAAAGCCATAGATTATTTTGTTTAAGAAAAGTTTATTTTTGACAACAATAATAGTGCAGTGGGTGGCACTGGGGTTTGGCTCATCATGCGTTAATAATCTAACGAGGAAGTAAATCTAGTCTCTTAACAGCCTGATATCCGTCTTCTGCTCATTGGTGACAGAGGAGAGGCATCTTTCAACACATGGTTCCTCCTTCACTGTAAGTAGAAAGAGTTTATTGATGTAATGATTCTGTATACCTCCTGTGAACATTATTTAATCTGACATGTTTTATAGTCTCACAGAGAGGAGAGGAGCAGCTATGAGTTTAACTGCAGCAGCGAGTGGATTAGTTGTCTTCCTGCTCTCTGTGTCAGGTACTGTACATCTACACTTACATTCATCACATGAACAGAGGGGATTCTGGGAAAATGTGGGACTTGTAAAATCAGGTCACATGTGGGAATAAGTGGGATGGATTTGTGTAAAAGGCAAACCTAGCAGAAACATTTTAAATGTAATTGTAGAATTGTAGAAACTCAAAGACGTTACTAGTTTTTTTGATGGATATTCTGAAGATCTTGTCGTGCGTTGCCACTGTCCTTTGCTCCAATCATCTGCATACAATATCAGTTTGCTTATCACCTTTACAAGTGTTAAAATGAGAATATAGTGTATGCATAACTGTTCCATCCTCTCTCTGTGAAAACATTTAGCTTTGTTTTTTTCTTAAGACGACTTCAAGAATCTCCAGCTCTGTTTTTATTAAGTTTAAGTGATTTAGAGAGATATTCTTATTCTAAGTCATAACATATTGACTCAACTCTTATCGATCATACATCTACACCAAACCCTTCTAGTTCCTTCTCTCCTCTCTGACCTCAGTGTTATATTCCCACGCTCTGAGTTTAAAGCAGTCTTCTTCTTTTTCTTATCTGTATATCAGACAGAAGCTGCTCTCACCTCAGTGTTCTGCATTTATTGTTATTGTTCACACTTACCTCAGCAGCAACCTGACCACAGAGCGAACAGAGAGGAAACTGTACAAGAAAAGCACAGACCTGTATAATTAATAGTATTCCTAATCTTTTAATGTTCATGCAGACATCTTAACACATTGTGTTTGGACTTTTGTTCTACCCGGTTTAATTCAGAAACAACAAAGTCATACATTAGTATTGCAGCAGTTATAAACTGCCTAAAAAGGAATTAACAGGTGACGTACATGAGCTCCTCTTCTCTTCATTTCAGAAACTCAACTATGATAAATACATGATATGATTCTTATATTCAGTTCAGCTCTAGTTAGATCATTTTTATAATAATGTCTGCTGATAATTTGATCTTGAAGCTTGTTCTGGTTACATTAACCCCATTAACACATGTGTAGTTTGATTTACTGAGTCTTATTAACTAATTGTTAACTTAAGTCATTAACTTTGATTCTAGTTTCTGATGTGCTCTGTGTTACAGCGGTTCAGGGTCAGAATGGCTGGGGAGTGACTTGCTCTTCTACTAAGATCTGTGCATTTAAAGGATCAACAGAGGAGATAAGATGCAGCTACAGATACCCATCTACATGGATAGGCAGAGTAAACACAGTAGAGAAAACATTCTGGTTCACTGAATGGAAAGATGGTCAACCTGTAGATCTGAAAACAGACTCAGAGTATGCAGGTCGTGTAGAGGATCTCTGTGAAAACAACATCTGCACTCTGAGAATCAGAAACCTGAGAGAGAGCGACTCAGCTGAGTACAGGTTCAGGTTCAAAACAAACCAAGAGGGTTACTGGGGTATTCCAGTCACTTTGTCCGTCACAGGTATCTGAAACTGTACTTTTAAAACATTTAACTTTTTATTTTTATTTTGATACATGAACATTATTGATCTTTTTTTTTTAAATATATTTGTACCTTTATTCAGATCTCCAGGTGCAGGTGAACAGATCACAATCGTCTACTCTCCTTCAGTGTCTCAGCAGTTGTCTACCTGGTCAAACTTCCTACATCTGGTTTAAGAACAGACAGGAAGTGAAGGAAGACACATCTTTTTATGCAGACTTCAGTTATGAGTCAGCAGACAATTATTCCTGTGCTTTGAAGGGATATGAGGACTTCCCCTCTCCTTCAGTGTGTGAGTTTACTCAAAGTCTTCCACTAACATAATAACATAAACATACAGTATAACATATATCATCATTGCACTCATGTATCTATTTACCCACCAGAGGTCGCCAGCAGACATGGCAGTGTCCAAAGACACTGAACCAGGGCTCTAGGTTTTCTGTTTGATTTTAAAATAGATAAATATAATCTAGCTACGAGGGATGCTACTAGAAAGAAGAATAAACGAGAATTATGAAGGAAACTTCTTCCATGACATAAAGATTAACACGTTCCCTCAAAGTTTTTAGATTTCTGATAAAGGATGGAATCAAGTTAACCACCCACTCTGTGTTTTATTAAACTATTATTCATTAAAATATCTTCCACTGTGGAATTAAATGTGAAATGTGTTCATGTTATCTCCTCCAGATGCTCCAAGCTTTAACATGTTTTGCATTGTGTTTGTAAAAAACGTTTCCTGCTTTGTGCCTCTGGACATTTGCAAGTTGCCATTATATCTACCCTTCCATGTTAATAACTTTAAACACTTCTCCTCCAGATGCTCCAAAGCTCCCCTCTGTGTCAGTGAGTCCCTCTGGTGAGATAGAGGAGGGCAGTTCAGTGACTCTGACCTGTAGCAGTGATGCTAACCCAGCAGCTAACTACACCTGGTACAAGGAGGACGGATCTTCTTACCTTCCTCCTCTCAGTGATAAACCACGTCTTGTCCTCAGCTCCATCCAGTCCTCTGACTCTGGACAGTATTACTGTAGAGCTGAGAATAAGCTGGGGAGTACAAGATCTGATCCCTTCTCTATTGATGTGAAATGTGAGTTAAACCCAGATGATTTAAAAAGCATCATGCACCCAATGACAACTTTGTTCACAGTCTGCTGCTGTAGGTCAATGAGATGGAGAGCAGCTACAGTAGAGGATGAAAATGAAGTTTTATCTACAATTGTCTCCCAAATCTGCATGTATGTTCAGGGTATTCAAGCTAGCAGTAATACAGAAAACGATATACTGTATATACACAACATAATTGTTGTCTTCAGCTCTATACCTGAAAAAACCCTTCCAAATTCCAGATGTTCCCACAGAGATAACTATTTCTCATTTCAATACACAATTCAAGTTAGTTTATTTTTACCCATTTTTGTTGATTTATTGTGTTTCCTCCAGATGCTCCAAAGCCTCCCTCTGTGTCAGTGAGTCCCTCTGCTGAGATAGAGGAGGGCAGTTCAGTGACTCTGACCTGTAGCAGTGATGCTAACCCAGCAGCTAACTACACCTGGTACAAGGAGAATGAAGACTCTCCAAAAGCTTCAGGACAGATCTTCAACATCACTGACTTCAGAGCTGAACACAGTGGGAGGTATTCCTGTGGAGCCCAGAACAAGTTAGGACGTAGTAACTCCAACTTACATCTGACTGTTGTGGCAGGTAAGCTCTCTACATTCACCAGACCTGATTCACTTTGTAATATGAAACAACCCAAGCATATTCAAAATGTCAGTGTTCAGGGAGGAACCTCCATGGTGTCAGAGGTGGATCACACTGACAATGTGATGTATCAATCTGTAGTTAGAAGTATCACATATGTGTTCATGTTTCTAGGGAGTTCAACAATGATAGTGAATATCATCAGGACGACTCTGGGGGTCTTGATGCTGATTCCTGTGTTTCTCCTGAGTCTCTGGACGAGGTACAACAATATAAATTCATCAGTTTAAACATCCTTCTTACATGTTTTAGTTTACTGTTATGAAATAAAATCTGTATTTGTTGTTGTCCTTAATCCAGGAAGAAGAAAGCTCTGCGCTCCACCACTGAAGCACATGAACCTGAAGAGATAGAGGTGAGAGAGAGCGGACCTATTGACAACATTTCCCCTTCGTCAAAGCTATACTGTGGCTCATAAATGCAATGTGAAGAGAACTTGTGATTAAAGACAACTTCCTGAGTTGAAACCAGTAATGAATTTAGCCAAGAAATAATTAGCATCAACTTTAAAATATGAAAAATGTTTTATAAAGTATATGCAGGTTTCATGAACGAGGGTCTAATTGTGTCTTCTCTCTCTTCATCAGTTGGACTCTGATCCTGAGTATCAGAACGACTCACACACTGCAGCACAGACAGAAGACACAGAGGAGCAGGAAGACCTGGTGTGAAGTCCAGTCAGGTTAGAGCCTCCTGCATCAGATCAAACAGGCCCACTCCACATTTAGAGTCACAGTTCCAGCTGTAACTTTACACAAAGCTTCTGTGATTTTCTTCAGATGCTCAGCTGATGGAAACAAAGAAGAAGGACGTTGAAATGTCCCTGTGGAGAGCGAGGCTGTGCAGGATGTGTGCAAAGTGGATATATTCACGTTCAACTCTTAAAGCTTTTACTGTCAGTTTTCAGTAGCAGCAGCTTGTAGGTTTAGAAGAATGAGCTGCTGGCAGCTTGAAGTGAATCATGTCGAGGTGTCAAACATGATTTATCGTTAAGACCAGCCGATGGTCAGGTGCTCTATATTACTGCTTCAACTATGTGTGCATGCTTATTTGTTATATGCAGAGTTGTTGATATTACAAAAGACTAGTCAAATAGTTTTTTTAAATTCCACGTAATAAATAACTTTGAAAAATCCTCATCAGTGTCTTGGTTAATAACTGTCCTGGCTGACAGAGTCAATGAAGTCTATTTAAAACAGAGAGAGCCTAAAAACATCACATTTCACTCCATGTACAGTTTAGATTTTCAACATTTTGAAACATAAGCTTACTAAAAGACCTTGTTAGATATTACTGTATACATTTTCATGGTCTTTAAGTGCTTATAGAAAATTGATCTGACAGAGAAGGACCTCTTGCTGCTCTTTTTACATCCTTCTATAACAAGTTAATTTCTATCACAATCTCTTTGATTCTCCTCTTAGACATGAGTACATTTCAAGTACATCCAGAAGTTTTCCTATCTTTGATCCTTTAATCTGTTCTGTAATAAAGCATCATGTTGATAAAGCAGGGATATTTTTCCATCATTACCACAGCCAGTGGCGACTGGTCATTAGGGGCAGGTGGGGCACAGCCCCACCTAGTGTCAGCAGAAAGTATTACAAATAA